TGGCGTTGCCTGAGAGACTGTACGCAATGTGGAGGAGAATTACTTTGGCAGAGCAGCGTGAGCGGGTGTTGGTTTTGAGAACATTCTCTATGCTAGGGAATTCTGCGCCTTGGGCAGTGAGGTGACGGACTAGTGGCTTCCTGGCGCTCAGGCTTTGCTTAGGGCGGCCGGCCGAGGGGTCTCCGCGGCGGGTCCTGCTGGCTGTCAAAATGGCAGCGCCCAACTGGGACAGGTCCGGTTGAAGCGGGAGATTAAGTTCCTTTCCTGTAAGTGAGCAAGCTTGCTGCGCTTTCGATTTTGAACATCCTGCGTCTAGGTTTCTTGGGAGAGTGGCGGGTGAGTGGTGGCCTTGCTGCTGCGTGGGGGTGTGACGTACCTTGTTGGTGCGGTAGCAAGTTTGCACTTGACTGCGAATTTTTCCCATTTCCCCATTATTCCTTGAGGCTTTTGAGATTTTACTTTTGAGTCAAGTGTCTCCATAGTTTTGAAGTCTATTAAGTGCGCAAACAAGGCAGAAGCCTGGGCCGTAGACGTCGTGATTAATTAAAGGGACGTTTAAGTCTTTAGGGACTCTCGGGGTCATTTCAAACTGAAGAGAAGCTCTCCCTTGGCTTTTCTCGGAAGACTTCAACTTTTCTGAATCAGCGTATGAAAGTGGTGACAAAGTTCCTCATTCTGGACTTTGAGGATGGGAGCAGAGAAGCCTCAGCCCGTTCAGGTTACTGTGTTTTGAAAGCATGTCTTTGTTACTTTTGGAATTTATGTAAGCGACATTGGGAAGAGCCGCAGCTTCTGCCCCAGAACATAGCGAGGAGTAACTTCATGTGTCAAAACCAAGTTTGCTTTAACATGTGTTCCCATCTCTTGGTATATCGGGTTTTGAAACCATATTTGCTCTTTGTTGAAGCAACTGCATATCTTGAGAACTTTAAGGTTGGAAAACACTTCTCTGACCTCGCTATGCTTTAGTGTACTTGTAACCCCACGTCTTTGCATCCAAATATACTTGCTAGTCAAGATGCAATCGCATTAAGGCAAAGGCATTGAACAGAAAATGCTTTTATAAAAAATCTTTTAGGCCTATTCCCTATTGCCTATCTTTAAGATCTCCTACACCTGTGACTCTCAAAACATTGTTTTTTTTTTTAAAAAAAAACAGGATAGTAGGATGTCTCTGTCATTGTCGCTGGTTGTTCAAGTCCTTTTCTCAAGTTTCTTGGATGGGCTTTTAATATTTTGAGTTTTCCTTTGGGATTTTTAAAAAAGATCCATGACTAAGGGAATTGCCCGTTGCTATGGAGTAAGTTCTAGACCTCTGTTTTTCTTATGATGATACGCTATGAAATAATATGTGATGTGGGAAAACCACAATGTTAGTGAAAGTTAATGGAGAGAAAATTATCAAAGTGAGAAATAAAGAACATAATTTTTGCTTGTTTAAAAACAGCTGGAGGTGGCCATGGTGCTGCATGGCATGATCTCAGTGAGTTCGAGGCCACTGTGGCCTACATAGTGACTTCAAGGCCATTCTGAACTATACATAGTGAGATCTTGGCTCAAAAACCCAAACGAAAACAACAACAGTAGGGATAACTTTTCTTTCTCTCTTTTCTTGGCTTTAGCTTACATTTTTTTTTTTTTGGTTTTTTTGAGACAGGGTCTCACTATGTAGTTGAGACTGGCCTGGAACTCACTATGTGGCCCAGGCTGGTCTCAAACTCACAGTGACCCTCTTGCCTCAGCCTCCTGAGTGCTGGGATTAAAAACAACTAGATTACAGGTGTGCGCCACCATGCACGGCTTAGTTTACATTTTGAAACTAAAATTGGCATAATTACTGTATGCAATTTTTTATGCCTAATTTATTAGGGAATTTAATCATTAGTTTATGTTATGTATATTAATAACTTTACTATAATCAATTAAAACTTTTTAAAAAACATGTAAAGTTTAAATTATATGCTGTTATGTATTTTAGTATGCATTCTATGCTACATCAAGGTTTTTCTTAAGTAATAGTGATAAATTCATTGTCTGTAGCCACTATGACTTAGGCCTTAAAATGTAAAAGTTTTCTTATTCACTTATGTGTAGTTCAGGTAAGTGTCAACTGTGTATAGTTCTTTACCTCTTTAAAAGCATGCCTTACTTTGTATTAAAAGTAGGGATGTGAATAAGCACTTAATACTTTTTAACAGAAATTTCTCTTACCATAATAAGCAGTATAACAATGTACTCCCCTTAGCTTAAATATCAAAGTAATATGTCAGGAAAATCTTTTGTAGCAAAAGGAATTCATTATGTGGAACATGAATCTAAATCCTTTTTTTTTCTTCAGTACTGGGATTTGAACTCAGTATTTCACAGTGAGCTACATCCTGCCTTCCTTTGCTTTTATTTTGCTTTGTGATAGGGTCCTGCTAAGTTGCTAAGTCGCCCAGGATGGGCTCAAACTTTGTATTCTGTTGCCTCAGCCTGCTGGAGTGCTGGAATTACAGGCATGCCAAGTCTGGCTGGATCTAAGTCTTGATTATACATTTCATTTGTTTTTATTGACCTGTTATTCAAATAGAAAATGAAGATGAAAGAGACCATAGCATCACCTAAATGATTTCTACAGATGAACAAGTTGAAACTCTTCTTCATTCATTCCTTTTCCTGTGTGCCACACAGTGTCTAAAATGATACAGGTACAGTGATGATTCCCCTCCCTCCCAAAAAACCTATAGGGGAATAGATAAACAAAGTCATACTTTATTTTTGATAGGTGCTGTGATTGACAGCTTTATCAAATGCTAGGTATCGGATACCCCTTCAGAAAATCTCAGTCTCCTGCTCAGTGCTCTAATACAAGGTGAGAAGAAAGACTTAGAGACGAATGAGAAAGAGAGAGAGAGAGAGAGAGAGAGAGAGAGAGAGGGAGAGAGAGAGGGAGAGAGGGAGGAGAAAGAGAGGAGAAAGAGAGGAGAGACAGAAACAGAGACAGAGACAGGGAAATGGGAAATGGGATGGTTAATACTTGAGCAAACAAAGACCCTGAACAGCCAGAAACTCTGATATTTGTTGGTTACACATAGTTGGGGTGAGGGGACTATGTGTGGTTGTTAGGGATAAGTTGCTGATGCAGGCAAGGCTTGTAAAAGAAGCATCAAAGTATTCTTGTGTTGGGAACAATTAACCTTGTCTTTTCAGTTAAGGGTTCATATCTGGGAACAGAATTTGGGTGAGTGTTACTCTGACCTCGGCTGTCATGTTTTCTCATATCCTTGTCCTGCCACAGTGCACCTATGAGTCACATGGGCTTCCATCAGACTCACTTTTTAAAATGAGCCAATTTTGGGATTAACTGTTTACAGCCTGCACTGCTTATAACTTGCTTTGGGCATAATCAACTGGACAGTCTCCCACAACTAGGGGAGCATAGAGAGGGATATTCACCTAGGACTTTAACCTTAGAGAAGATTTTCCATCAAAGAAGATAACTCCAGAATGAGTAGTAAGATCCATCTGAATGGGCTAAGTTAGAGATTGCAGTGTGTATTTAAGGCACAGAACCATGTGTAGCAATCTGTTTAGACAGCTCTGAGTGGTTTAGCTCTGAGGTAAGAAGGAAAGGACCTTCTATCAGAATGTGAAGTGGTGAGTATGTACTAGCTTTTTTTTTTTTTAGTGATGCTTCCTTTCTGTTTGGAATAAGTTATTTTGTCCCCTGTGTACAGGCTAAGTTATAAGTCAAGTACACCTTACAGATGAACTATTGAAATGGAGGTTAGTTTACCAGGTGTTGATAGACTTTTGTTTTAAGCCATGATTTCAAATTTGTGTTCTAGAAACACTGAAATTCTATTTCTTTATCTGTGCATTCAGCATGTAGCTGAGAGGCCTGGTACTTCAAGTCAGAATTCTTGGGGTAATGTGAGGGTTCTAAATCAAGCACAGACCCTGTTTTCTTGGACTTTGTAGTTTACATACATTTGCACATAATTACAGTACGGGTTGGGAAGTACAGAGTGCCAGAGAGAAGGGCTGGTCCAGTGACACTGGGCTCTGCAGGGAGAGCTTGTGTCCATCCCTGATGCCCAGGCCACACATCAGACCAATTCAGCATGTGTGTGCTAAACTTCCTGGTGAGTGCATATGCTAGGCTTGGGAAACGATGATGTCCGTGTCTTAAGGTTTTAGGAGGACATAGTGTTTGTGTTTAAACAGTTAAAGGGTTTGGATATGTGAGGTGGTAGTGAAAGGGTTTCTCCAGGAGGAATGTTTGTCCTTTCCCTTGGATAGTGAAGAAGAGTGGCCCTGAGTGAGGGTTAGGGAGCAAATATTCATGGCTTAGAGAAGAGCGGGGCAGGGCTCTGTGTAGGGCTGGAAGGTAGAGGAGCATGTGAAGGTGATCTTAGGAGAGGTACAAGTTCAGCCGTACATGGTCAGATGCACAGAGCACAACCCTATGCCATCTCACTTAATCCTTCTGTGACTGTATGGGTGAGCTGGTCCCTCTGCTTAACAAAAGGGCTGTGAGAGGTTAGGTCATTCACCCACCATCAGAGAGCTGGGAAACGCCTGGGGTGACTTTGGCCCAAGATGCGATGTGCTTCTCTGTGTTACCACACAGTTTCACAGACGGTGTTCAGTGCCAGCTTCCGGATTTGACATTCATTCACTTTTCTTGGATACTGTGGGTAAGTTTTAGTCACATTTGCATTTTAATTTGGTTGGCTTCTCACTTATTTGTAAAACTAACTGGTGTGTATAAATATGCAGATACTCTCATGTTGATTTTTATACTTTCTTTTTAGTCTTTTAAGATGAATTTACATTTTCTTCTATTAACCTCTCTTTGAAAAGACATGGAGCCTTTTTTAGGTGGTCTATTTATGTGTGTGTGAGAAACATTTCCTCTTGGGATTTCTGAGACTCATATTTCGGTAGAAACTTTTCAAATAGATTCAAGAAAATCTATTCTCTGTTTTCAGTAATTTAGAAAGCCATAATGTGTCACAACTAGATATTCTAGCTTATTAATTAATTGAGCTCCCTTACTTGTGGGAAATAATGATGAAATTGACAATTGATTTGGGAAAATTACATCATGTCACTCGGTTCTAGGAATTTTTTTGTTTTTTTGTTTTTTTTTTAAGAGTAGTTCTTTGCCTTTCAAGGAAAGAAACCATCATTTCCAACCACAAATCTTTACCAGCATGAGGACTCTTTGCCACTGTGTTTATTTTGTTACAATTCACCCTCATCCTTCTTTTCTTACTAGTTAATGGCGATAACTACTGTATTATGTTTTTGTATGATCCATATATTTTAGAATGGTTTGTTATATTTGTGATAATAATGAAATTCTACTTACGTAGAGTTTATTTTTCAGGAGTTCTGTTGTGCACTTTGCTACCATCTCATTGTTTGTAAAGATCAGTTTCAAGTTGGTCACTTCTTTGGTGTTCCCTAAAGACTCCTGTATTGACAGCTTGGACCCCAGTTCAGGGCTGTTCAGTGATAGTGCCTACTTGGGCGGGCAGGGCACTGGGAGCACGGCTTTGAATGGTTAGAGATCTGTCTTCTGCTCCTTCCTCTCTGGCTCTTTCCCTTTTGCTTGGCTTCCTGGCTGTCATGAGGTGAACCACTTTCCTCTGCCATGCCTTTCTACCAGAAAACTGCCTTGGAATCAGCTGACAATGAACGGAAACATTAGAAAGCATGAGACAAAAT